ATAATTTTGTGGACCTCTTCCATTACGAAAAGTGGGAGAGAGACCCTAGACCGATTTTCCCAATTTTTTAATGATAAATTACTAGCAAATTTTACCCAACAAGAAAATAGATAAATTATATTGATACCTAGCCAATAATTTTGTTGAGGAAAAACTAACCAGCAAATGAAAAATGCTTTCTACCCCCACTGGGGGTCGACCCCCAATGAGGTGTCACTCTGGGATTGGTCCAAAAAAAAATTGTTTTTTTTTTTTTTTTTTTTGAGTTTTCAGCCAGTGGGGGCACGCCACATTATTGGAGGCGCGACGGGGTATGCAGCGGGACTGCCAACAAATTATTTATACAGAATTTATCATAGTGTTACACTTTTGTTAATAATAAGGTGACTTTAGATGACTTTGGTTTCCTATCTAAAAAAAAGGTGACTTTGGTTGGTAGACACGTGTTAAAGTAAGCTTCCATTGGTTGGGGACCTAATAGAAAACTTGGTCGGCCAAGAGGCCAAAGAATAATATCAACAAATCAAGGACACCATCCATGTGGGACGAAAATCACAAAGCCCCGAAGGCGATCAAGTGCGCCCACATCGAATATCAACCGTCCAACCGTCGTCGACCCACACACGTGGCATCCCACTCCAACAGAGTAAAATTATGGCCTACATGCAACTGTACGGTGGTCTTGCTCCTTCATCCTTCAAATCCGAATCCGGATAAATACGAGGTATTTATTTATAAATTTCTCTACATTTATTTATATTTTGTTTAATTCAAATTATTTTTTTACTGTTTCAATAAATATTCGGGTGACATAATTCAAAAAAATCTTAATAATAATAATAATAATAATAATAATAATAGGTGAATCACGTATTAATGTTCACATTATCAATATAAATATTTTATAATGTGAATACTTACATTGTTAACATAAATATTCATGTTGTTAAATTTATTTAATGTGAATGTTCACATCACTAAATTATTAAGAGTTTAAAAAATATTTATGAAGGTAAAATTATTTATAAAATATCTTAAATAAAAAAATTACAATTTGATGGATTAAATGTTTAAAATAATAGAATTTATTAAAATATAAAAATATCTTATAGAGTAATTAAAATACAAATAATTGTAAAGAAGATTCTTTTAGGATTCGTTTGGAATGTGAGTTATTTTTTGGCTATTTTAATCTGGGGTTAAAAAGTTTTGTTTGTGATAGACTTTTTGACTTTTTTGATTTTTGTAAGAGAAAAAATAAAATGATTATAGATTGGATGTGATATTTTGTTTTTGGCTAAAATAGCAAATTGTATCCTATATAACTATTTTAGCCCAAAATAATATCCAAAAGAAAGTATCTAAATGGTTAAAAAAATATTTTTTTGGGTGATTTTTTTGGTTTAGAAAAAGGGTTTTTTTTAGATCATTGACATTAAGATTTTATAGCATAAAGGATATTCAATATTTTCATAATGTCTAAGGTCCCTCAATATTAATCCAGAGAAATTTCAAACCAGAGAAATTCTAGACTTCTCAAAAAATTTCTCTGGGTTCAAACAACATTCAAATTTCTCTAGATTAACATCAAAAAGCCTTGAACCTTTCACACATTTCTCTGGACTGACATTCAATTTCTCTGGATTAATATCAAATTTCTCTGGATCTCTGGACTAACATAAAAAACCCTTGAACCTTTCACAAATTAGAGAACTTCAGCTTCCAAAGACTAAATCTTTTAAACAAACCAGGGAAATTTTAGCACAATGATTTTAAATCAGAGAAAATTGTTTTAACCAAACCAGGGAAATTTTCCCTAATTTGCATCTTTAGAATTAGTAGTACCTACACTAAACCGGAGATTGAGCCACCAGAATAGAGCACCATAAATCTCTCTCTCTCTCTCTCTCTCCTCATCGTTAGAAACATGTGAGATATGGGATCTAGATTTGAGCGGTAGTATAGACCAAGATCTGAGATATTCTTTTTGATCATGGAGTTCTGAAACTGATCATCATCATCCCCATCTCTTTGAGGCGCCATCGGATTCAGCGGCGGAAACAACTTCCTCAGGTTTGACTCCCATAGGCTCAAGATCATCCTCGCCGTTGTCCCTTGCTATCTCAACCACTGCTCTCCCTAAGCTCTTTGGCGAAATTTGTAGCTCTCAAAACCCTAAGTTTGTTGAGATTGAAGGAGAATGAGAAGAGCGATGTGTCTCTCACGAGTAAACTTGAGCTATTCGGTAGGAGTTCGAGGTCATTTCGTCTTCAATATTTTTAAACCAGAGATCGATCCCTACTACCTTCGCCGCCACCACTCTCACCGGTCCAACCCCGTCGTATATTTGAATGATGATGATGATGATGATGATCAGATTGAAGAAGGTGATAATTCGGATCGAAGTGAATCAGATTTTGTGATAGATCGATGCCAAGATGATCATGCGATTGAGGAAAATGATGAAAGTCAAATGCTTTTTGGTATGAGAGATCATGAGGAAGATGTGGATTGTTATGTTTCTGTATCAAACTTTGGATTGAGAGGGGGGGGGTTTGTTTGGTGCGAGAAGAGAGATGTGTGATTTAGAATTTGAGTCCTACTCATTTTTGTTTCATTTGTTATGTCAGGTAAAAAAATGTCAACATCAAATGCATCTATGACTGATATTAGTGAAATTCAGTTTAGAAATCGAAAATGTCGTTGCGGGGTGAGAGCAGCATTCAGGATTTCAGAGTCAAAAGGCAATCCAAGGATGGTATACTTTGCTTGCCCTTCAAACAACACCAATGGATGCGGCTTCTTTGAGTGGTGGATGCATGTACATAAGTAGCGTCAATTGTTGAAGATGATAAGGGAGGAAAGCGACGACAATTGTAATATCCACTCTTTGGCCAACGAAGTGATTGTATCCAATGATGAGCTGAAAGAGATGGGTACAAAGTTTACGAAAGAAAGTAAACAAATGGTTGTAGAGATTAGACAACTTGGGAAAAGGTTGCACTACGCCGTTGTAATAATGTTATTTGGATTTGGACTTCTTTTGTTGTTTAAAAATTAAGTGTAATTTAAATTCGGATTTGGACTTCGCCTTTTGTGAACTAAATATTATGTGTAAATTAAGTTGGTTGTTAACTTTGTTTCTTTGTTTGGATTGTTGGTTTGGATTATTGGTATGGTATGTTACTGTTTTTGTGCTTTTAGTTTATGTTGTTACTGAAGATATCAACGACAATGGTCCATGTATACATATATAGACTTCCATGGACTGTTGCCATTTGTTAACTTTGATGGTACATGAAAATGTTATCAGTGGCCCATTGCTGATTACTGTGTTGGATATAGAGAGAGTGGTCCTCTTCTTATTTATGAGATGTAAATTAGGACACTCCAATGATCTATATCCTCTTGTGATGCTCAGATTTGTGTCCCACTCAATTGATCACCATTGTTATGACCAAACATGTATTTTCAAATTTTTGGAAATTCAAATGGAATAATGTTTTATTCAAATTGAAGGGTTATGATTATTGAGAATTGGTGGAAATCATGTTTGTTGCCCTAATAAATTTATTTTTTTGCTGATATCAAACTAGAATGAGATTTCCATGATTTGAACATAACCTAAATGTGTTGCTATGTCAAGTATGACGTGAAGTTGAGTATGCCTAGGCTTCTCTTCTGTTTATTTTTTAGCACCATTTCAGAACATATTTGAGCAACATATCAACACAAATTTCAGCAGCATATCAGCCAACTTTGAGCACCATTTCAGCACATATTTCACCAACATATCAACACAAATTTCAGCAACATATCAGCACAAATTTGAGCACCATTTCAGCCAAATTTCAGCAACATATCAGCACAAATTTAAGCACCATTTCAGCAACATATCAGCACAAGTTTCACAAACATAGCAGCACAAATTTCAGCAACATATGAGCACAAATTTCAGCACCATTTCAACCAAATTTCAGCAACATATCAACACAAATTTCTGCACCATTTCAGCACATATTTCAGTAACATATCAACACAAATTTCAGCACCATTTCAGCATATATTTCAACAACATATCAACATTCACATAAAAAAAAAGTTTAAGGTCATTTTGACATTCAAATTTCAGTACAATCTGCCAAGTCTTCAATATTACATATCCAACAAAAAAGTTTACAAATTTCAGAAATTTCTACATTCACATGAAAAGTGTTCAATATTACATATCCAAAAAAAAAATTCAACGCTATGATATTGACGTGTGATCCACATTCCCATATAGTACCTAAAAAAGAAAACAAATATATATAAGGAACCATAAAATAAAATGGAACTTTAAATGAATGAATGGCAAAATAAAAGAGGAAAGGTGAAAAATAAATTACTTGATTATATGAAGGACTATTCGAGGCTTGCAAGTCATAACCGCTTGCATTGTTAAGCAAGGCTTGATAGCTTCCATGGATGGAATACATCGATGGCATTGAAAAAGGATTAACTTGAGGAACACACGTCGAAAATGGAATACTTGGCTGCAACAATAGCAAACACCTATCAATTTAAAATGGTACAAAATATTTACAAATAAGTCATAATAAAACTTCTTATTAAACTAACTTACATCATAGGCGAGATACATAAATTGAGTAGACGAAGCATTATGTTGAGGAACACACGTCGAGAATGGAGGAAGTTGAGGAGCACTTATTGAAAATAAAGGAGCTGATTGAGGAATACTCGGTGAAAACAAGGGAGCTGGTTCAGGAGCACTCGCCGAAAATAAGGGAGGATGTTGAGGAGCAACAGACATAGGAGTTTGAGAAGCATTTTGTGAACTAGGTTGAGGAGCAATAGACATTGGAGTTTGAGAAGCATTATGTGAACTTCTTTTATTTTTCTTTGCCAATGCAAGTTCCAAACCACCTTTGTCCGCCTTCGTCCCTTGCTAGTGCACTCTCTTCGTTTGAGTCCTTTTGCTTGAACTACATTTGTATCCACTACACCATCCACTTCAAAGCTTTCGAGACATGTGTCGGGAGGGCTTTCTTGTTCAATAGTATCTGAAAAAGACATATTGAATTTTGCGCTTAACATGCTTTCAATGTTTGCAATTAAGTCATCCGCTTTCTCTACCGTCAAGTTATATGTTTCCTCACTTTCGGAAGCTCTACACGCTACTGCTCTGAAAATTGCCATCAATGATCTAAAGCGTGAAGTTTGATGCAATCTTACATCAACCTTAATATCATGCCCACACCTATCTTTCACATTTTCGACTCTTGCTTTTTTAGTCCATCTCTTGAGAATATATTGGAAAGGAATCTCTTTGAATTTGAGGGTTTTTCTAAGGATCTTCAAACAATGACTACACAAAATGCCTTTCATTTCAAACTTTCTACAATTGCAAGTGAGTGAACCATCACACTCCACTGTCACCTTCCTCACCTTTACACCATCACTATCAAGAATCGTATAAATGGTACTCTCACCACAAATTTCAGTTTCTTCAATGTTTACTTCAAGGGACTTGACATACTCATCTTGAAATTCTTCATAAATTTTATTTGTGTAAACATCTACAGCTTGTTCCATAATCTTCACTTTAATATTCACCCTTGGCAACTTTTGGCATAGAGCATATTCGGCTTGTAACTCTTTGTACCTCTTCTCACAAAGAACTCGATCAAAATGCATGAAAAATTGCATTAAGTTATGATCAGACTGAATGAAATCCTTCAAGAATGCATTAAAGGATTCACCAAGTTGGGTGCTACTCATACCCTCACTCCATGCATTTCTAACATATGGCCAACCCCATTTGTCCTTGACCCCAAATGTTAACTTCAACCAATGATTATCTCGCACTTCATACTTGTCAAGCATTTCCTCCCATTTTAACATAAAATCATCCTTATCCTCAATGTCGTACATAAATTTGGATAAAACGCTCTTCATCCCCTTATCCTTCACCTCCTTATCCTTGAAGATAGAATTTGCATGCCTTAATGCATTTTGCATCAAATGCAAAGTGCAAAGGCGATGTTTTGTGTTAGGCATGACAATAGGTATGGCCTTAGCCATTACAGCATCCTAATCTGTAAAAATTATTTTCGGAGCCTTACTTGACATTGCCTCCAAGAATCTTCTAAAAAGCCATATAAAAGAATCAACAGTCTCATCATACATCAAAGCTACGCCAAATATAACAGTTTCCCTATGATGGTTAAATCTAACGAAAGATGCAAATGGTCTATGTGCACTATTTAACTTGTAAGTAGTGTCGAAAGTCACAACATCACCAAATTGCCCATAATCCATGATCATCTGAGCATCGGCCCAAAATATGTTTGTAATCTGCTCCTCATTATCTAACTGGACTGAGTAAAAAAAAGATGGATTCTCCAATGTCTTCTCACGAAAATATTGCAAAATGCTATCTGCCTCCCCATATGCTAAAATGTTTTGCCTCTTTGTTCTCAAATAATTTTTTTGGTCCACTTTTGTGAACCCAAGCGACTCCCTTCCACTAGCTTCATTACCCATGAGCTCAAATGCAACATTAAGCCGGATTCCAGATTTTTTGGCTAAATCTATTTCGTTTGCCTGTGATGCAGATATCTTCCTTTGGGATGGTAACATATGCGTACATTCTATTGGTACAAAAATATGATTATGTTGTTCAACAAACTCACCAACAAAAAATTTATGAATATTCCTATCCCACTTAATGATAAGTCGGGCTTGACAACCAGTCCTCACTTCCTGCCTAGGATTTTTTGTTAATGGATCTCGCTTGTCTACACCCTGAAACCCCTCCTTATAACAAACAAATAGCCTTGATGTGATTTGCCCCTCCTTGTTCTTGTTTACATAACCCCTTCTAATACTAAACCCCATCCTTCCTCCATAAGCATTATAGAAATTATATGCTTCTTGTTCTGTATCAAATGTCATGTGAACTCTAGGCTTCCAATCACAATCACCCCTGTCATTCTCAGCATTGTTAGGTTCCATTTCAATGTGCCAAGTCACTTCAAAAAAAAAAAAAAGTGCTCAATATTAGCATAAAAACTGTAAATTATGTTTGCAAAATAATACAAACTAAATAAAAACACTACAAGAATGGAATCATATTAGATTATATAAATAAAGGGGCACAAATCCCTTCAATGGTAAATTATGTTTTAAATGATCCAGATTTAACACAAATTCCTTAATTTTCTTATAATCAACACGTGAACATACAAAATCAAAATTAAAATTAAATGACAAAAAAAAACAAAATAAAGGGATGAATGAAATGTAAGAGACTTCTATTTATATACATTATCTTTGACTGCACCAAACATTTAAAAAACAAACATCACTTATCAGCTAAAGTGATAACCATAACAATAAACCATGATGATAATTTTTAATCTAGGTCAGTTATAGCTGATTTTTTGTTTTCATTTATTTTTAACCATCCTTATTAAAGAAAATGCCCACCAGTTTCCACACCTCCACAGCAAACAAAAAGAAAAGGGTAAGAAAATCAATCAAATGGCTATAACCTACAATTGCACAATATTGATCGAGATAATATCTAAATTACTAATATGAAATAAAAAAAAATAAATAAGGTTTGCCCAAAAGCACAGCCTATAAATGATGTGCAAAAAGCATAGAAGGGTTATAAACTTATAGTTAAACAATACATATACTGAATTCATGACAACCATGATCAACTCAAAAAATGATCTTCATTTTCTTTCTAAGACATGGGAGTATGAGTATGGGCCAGTCCTCTTGCTAAGCCAGAACAATGCAAAAAACAAAAAAAAAACAAAAAAAAAAAAAAACTAAATTTCAAATTTATTAAGAGAATGAGGTCCCAGAAACAATCAACTCTACAAGTTTGGAGCTAATAAATAAATCTTTACAATTAACAAGTTTGGTCCCAGAAGTTGATTTTACAATTAACAATATTTTCATACGAAATTTGGAAACTAAGCAGCTCGATCCATCATCATGAGAAACTACAACAGAAATCATAATAAATTCAATCTTCCATGAAGTAACACAATGGCAACCACAAAAAAACCTCAAAAGTACATAAAAATTTGAGCCGAAAAAATTATGGGGATTGGGGTATATATGTATAGATTTTTACAATGTTAAAAGGGATGAATGAAATATTCCCACACCTCAGCGATGGTGGCGGCGACGGGACGACGGCGGCAATGATTGGATGGCGGCAACGGCTGGACGACACTCCCGCCTCTCTTCTCTCTCTGTCTTCTTCTCTCTTTCCCGCCACACAGCTGTGTTGATACTGGAGGGAATGATTTTCATTTTGAATGAAATCAACTTTTTTTTTTCTTTTTTTTTTTTGAAATTACTAACCAAAACGACGTCATTTTGGTTAGTTATATTTTCAACCGTCGGATCAACACACTTCAGGGATCACTTCAGGGGCAATACTTCATAGGATCCTAATACTTAAAAATGGCTTTTGAAAAGTTTATGAGTATCGGCGAGTTTTTAAAAGCAAATAAATAATAATTAATCAAAAATGTCAAACAAAATATTATATTATATTATTAGAGAAAAAAAAAGTTTACAAAAGACTTGACAACTTTTGAATCCCATGATGCAGGCGCGTGTGCGGATGACATATGCATATAAACTAGCATCCATACCATAATGTCATATTCATAAGAATATTCAATATATCTCTTTATTAAAAGTTCTATCTTTTATTCTCTTTTCAATGTGTGACAAGTTTCTAAACTTATTTCAATATTTTTTTTTTTTTTTTTGTGTCTGTGGATAGTGCTAGTGACTTTTTATAGTTTTGTCAACTCCTGGTTTCGTTCAATTTGTCAGGAAGTTGCATTTTCATGTTTTTTGGAATGTGGTAGGGAGTATTTGAAACTCTGGCTGCCTGAGCGACTGGGTTGGGTGCGCTCACTGTGGTTTCCCACTCCAGCAACACCCTTTCCTCTGATTTGTTGCTTCAACGTCTCCATATCAGCCGCCATCTTCCGAATGAGGGCGTCCTGGTCTCTGAGTTTATGCTCTAGGCGCTGAGCGTGCAATTCTCCTCTCTGTCGACGTCCCTCAGGACTTTACGAATGATCAGTGCTCCTCGCGCGTTTGTCTCGCGCGTCTCTGGATAGCCCTCTAGAGGAGGTCTGCAGGCCCGCCATTGTCGAAATGGCAGGAGGGCCATCTTTTCTCCAGACTAACTCTAGAGTGATTACGTCGACGACGGACAGTGTTTGCCATGGAAAACAGTCGAAAAAGCTTGTAAAACAAGGGTTGTCTATCAAAAAGCTTTCCACAGATGGCACTAATTGTAGGGGGAAAGAAATAATTGCCTCACTCCGTACTTACTTGCTTCCAAGCTTGTTGCATTCCGTTAAAGCTCCGTCACACTGTAAATAAGATTAAGGTAAGCTACCCGGTGGGTGGGTTTGCCAGAAAACCCCTCCGATGGTCAAGTTAGCTTGCTAAGAGAAGAGAGAAGGTAGAGCGCGGTAGAGAGAGAGAGAGTTGCACAAAATTGCTTACCTCCAACGTCTGCATGCTCCTCTTTTTCAAGGTTGGCCATACAACCTCAGAGATTGTGGGCGCACTTCCTCTGATGTTCTTCTCTAGATAGGCGGCTGTGCTCCCCTCTACATTTCTTACACGTGTAGAGACCAAAACCTCCAAACAGTGCTTGTCGTATCGCCAAATGATATTGACACATACCAGGAGTGTATTTCTCTCTTCTCTTTATTGGTCCACGTAGGATGCTCAACCGGGCTATTACTTGTGAACCAATAACACTACGTTGGTCGCTTCGTGCCAAGTTGGATCATAACCAGCCTATCATTACTGACTGGAGGTAGGCACATCGTTCGGCATCTCGACTTCTGACCGCGGTCTCACGGACCGCCTGCCTCAGTGATAGTATTAGTCCGCAGCTCGGTCTTCACGTGACTCTGTTGCCTTGGAACTTAACGATAAAGTAGTTCTGCCCTCCAGCTGAGTCAGCTCGGCTGGGTCTGGCCGACACGATATTCTACATAGACCTAGCTCGGCCTAGCACTACATTCCATGCGGATCCCACTTAGCCAAACGCACCTCAGATAACCTCAGTCCAGCCCAATGATGCGTCCCAGGGTCTTCTCACCCAACACCAAATTCCATGTTGGTGAAGCTCGGCCCATTGTTCGGCGCAAATCTTCCTCTCACCTTTCGTTTGCGAAGTGAGTTAGTTTTTTGGCTATTAGTTTGAAATTAAAAAGTTTATTTGGATTGAAATTTTTGGATTTTTTGACTTTTATGAGAGAGAAAGTGAAATGCTTATGGTTTGGATGTGATATTTTATCTTATTGAATTTTTAGTCTATTTTATCTTTGTCTAAGGCTTGGTTTAGGAAGTAGATTAAAAACTGACATTTTGACTTTTTTTTAAAAAAGGTAAAGAGATGATTTAACTTGAAAAAGTTAAAAAAATTAACTTTTAGCCAAATTTTCAAAATAAGCTCTAATTAACTTCTAACCTTCAAAAAGTCTTATGTAAACGAGGACATAATAGTAAGAGAAGGCCTCAATCATTTCTATAAAATAGGTAGTGGTTGAGGCCTAGTTCCTAGCAAGTGATTTAGGCCATGTTTGTCAAGGACAATGGGCATAGGGGAAATCAAGAGGTTGAGTGGGCTATGAAAATAGTAAAATGGTGATGATTGTTGAGAACAAAAGTTGGTGGTCAAAGGTAGTTGGTAAATTTGGGTCTCAAGGTAAAGCTCGTAGGACATATGATAAAACCTAAAACTGTCACATTCTGGCAATTACAACAAGAAAAGGAGGCCAAATTACACTAAAAAAAATCCTCAACAAGCATCATTTGTGGAGGTCTAACACCAACCAAAACATCTATTGGAAAAAATGATTTTTTGGTGACTTTAATTATGTTGAAGTGGGCCAAAAACCATTCAGAATTGAATAAGATATTGCCTCTTAAAGTTAGCTTCATGAAATGGATTTTAAAGAGTATTTAAATCTTTCTTGGCTAAAGGGTGTGAACCCTTTTAGCATCCAAACTTTTCA